CGTCTGCTGCTGACCCCCCCTCAGTGGGTGGAGGTGCAGCTGCTGTTGCTCCTGCTCCAGCACCTTCTGCTCCTACCCCAGCCCCTCTTCCAAATATTGCTCCAAACCCTCCGCCTGCACCCATACTTGTTCCAGCTCCACCTCCTCCTGCAACCCCATCTGTCACCCCTTTCCCCCCTACCAAACTGGTAATAAAGCATGGTGAAGCTGGAGCCTCTGTGTCCTGGTCCAGCAGCTGTCCACCACCTCCAGCTGCACCAAGCAAGGTGGTGGCTGAACCTGTCAGCCAGAACTCCTCTTTCAGTCGTGCTCCTGCAGCATCTTCCTCTTTCTCCTCCTCATCCTTCAATTCTCAAAACGACGCTCTACCGCAGAGAACCAGCAAACCACCTATCAAGACCTACGAGGCTCGCAGGAGAATTGGCTTGAAGCTGAAGATCAAGCAGGATCAAACAGGGTTCAGTAAGGTGGTCCACAATACTGCCTTAGACCCAGTGCACATGCCTCAACCTCAGCAGAGCAGTCAGTCCATATCTCAGACTCAGTCTGAAGCTGCTGTACCACACCCAAAGTCCTACTCTTTATCAGCTCCTTCTGCTACAGTGATCAGAACTCAGTCCCCTGTATGCACTGCTTCTTCTGCCTCATCAGTCACCATAGCCCCATCTTCCTCTACCTCTTCCTCTCATACTTGGTCATCATCCACCTCCTCCTCATCCTCCACTCAAATGAATGGGACAGTGGATCACAATGAAATGGGTGGGGTCAAGCACAATCCTGCCTCCACTGCCACTTCCTCACAGACAACCTGCCGACTCCCCCTTCGAAAAACATACCGGGAAAACATCAGTCCCCGGCTCAGACCTGGTGTCCCAGGTGGAGGAGATGAGAGTTTATCCTACCCCAGACCCACGCCGTCATCCCCCAGGCATGAGGCCTCATCCCCCTCAGAGCGGACAGTGATAGCCAGTGTGAAGGTGGAGAAAAGGGGCAGGGAGGCCTCACATACTCACACAGAGTCAAGCCACCAAATGGGACATTTAGGGAGTACAATGCAGAGGCTGGACGAAGTGGACGAGGTGTTTAACCGTGGTATCAAAACCACACACCATCACCTCCCACAGCTCCTAGACACGGAAGGGGCAAATGAGAGAGGGGAGGAACACACAGACCAAGAAACAAATGTAAATAAATACACAAGAGCAAGTGGGAAAAATAGGCATAGGACAGGTGGGACATTCAGAATGGACCAGCATGCCCCTGGGCCTCCCTCTCCAGAGTCCTTCACACGAGACTCTCTGCTTCCTGCCAAACGCTGCAAGTCAGACTCTCCCGACATGGACAACGCCAGCTTCTCCAGTGGCAGCCCTCCAGACGACTCTCTGAACGAGCACCTACAGTGTGCCATCGACAGCATCCTAAACCTGCAGCAGGAGCCCTCTGCCCGCGGGCACCACATGAAGGGGGGCAACAGCAAGCCTCATCAACACCAAAGCCAGTGCCCAGGGGGCTTGGCAGCCTCGTCCCACAGAGCCTCAGTCCCACCTCCCTCCTCTGCTTCCTCGTCCTCCTCCTTGGCCCAGCACCCTCAGGTCGGTGGCCGTGGCCACAATGGCAGCCTGGTCCCCCAGACTCAAAGCAGATAACAGCTCCTCAGCCCCAGCCCAGACTGACAGGGGTATCTAAAAGACAGACTTGGTGGCAGGGGAAGAGGGGCACTGTGAAAACAGTATCACTGTACTACTCTGCCAAGCTTTGTTGGTTTTGTTTGTCCATTTGAATTGTCCAGACATTTCATTGTCATTTACAGCCTGAGGTAGACCTGTGGTGGAGTAAGGGAATGTGTGGTCAAAGGTAAAACTGTCTCTGAATTGCAGAATTGAAGATGCCTGGTGTTTTCTGTGTTCTGTCAGTCAGGTTTGAATAACAAGACGAGATTTGCAGAAGTTGCATTATCTTTTGTTTGATCATTCCTTTCATGTGGCTTGAGCACCACAACGGTTCATCTCCTGGTTTCAACAGTGTCCCAGTGACAGCTCATTTAAACAGTTCAGAAGACAACAACCTTCTTTAACTTGACTACCTGCAGCTGAGAAGCAGAAGAGAATACAACCAGGTTCATACTATAAAAGGTCGTAATACATTGTGTCTTGGTTTGCCAACCAAATTTTATTCTCTTCACAAAGATAAGGTTGTCACACAGAAGCAAACAGCACATGTGAAAGAGAAACAGTTTATGTCTTTATGAAGAATACTTTTCTTTAGACAGTAATTAAACCCGGAGGCTCAATTGCGTTTGCAAGGCAACTGCTTCATTTGGCAAAAGCAGTGGCCTCATCCTCCAACATGTGTGTATGTCATACAGACATCACATACATTTTGAAGTAAAATGTTGATAAAATCAAACTATGTGAAGTTTTCCTTTTGATTGACTACTGTCCAGATGTAATTGCCTATGTTGTTAGGAAATTGTGTTCTAATGTCATGATGATGAATTTCCTGGTTCCTGTTTTTAGACCATGCCTCCACACACCTGCCCCCCACCGGTGATTCTGATGCCAGGTTAGGACTGTATGCATTTCGGTCAGCACGTGGCAGGCCAGTTTTAACTGTTGGTTTTCTGTGTTCTCGGTCTGTTTCATCTTTCTGCAGTGTATCCCTGCCTCCCATGTGTGTTTTTGTGTTTTCTAAGCCTGGTTGACAATTCAGACACAAACACAGCACAAACATTGAAATGGAAAAAAGGAACAATAATAATGTACAAAAAGACCGTAAGAAAATTTGAAGTATAGTATTACAGATTAATTTTGTATTGTATTTATTGTGTATAATGACACTTTTTAAAAAGAAATGTACATTTAGTAAAAGTGTAAATTAAACCTTGCTTCTTTTATGAAACATGGCAGGTCTTCTAGTTGTTTATCTAGCAGTTCAGAGAGCGATTCCTGATTGTCAAGGCCCATTCCTCTGGATGACTCCTGACCACTGTGCTGTGTGATAGTGAGGAGGGGATGGTATTAGCGGTGGCAGCAGTGGGGTGTGTTCTCTGTCAGACAACCAGCAGGTGGAGCATGGAAGTGAAAAAGTAGAGCTGGCTGTCTTTGCCTGAAGGTTCACAGAGTTTGGGATGAGCAAGAGAGTGTAGACTGATGGGAAAAATTGTCACATCTGTAAACGTTACAGTAAGTTGAGTAGAAAATAACCATCTGTTAACTTTACAAAACACAGGAGTTGCAAGCCACAGCTGGAGCCTTGCAGCATGAGGTGGTTATTCAAAATATGCAGAAGGACACTGTTCTGTCACGTTAAAGAAGAAAAATTTGACTCCACCCAGATTTTTAGGAGAATATTTATTCACAGCCTCCTCCTCCAGGTCCACGCCCCTCTGGCCACAGTTGAGCTCATCCCTGCCCTGAGCAGAGTGTTAGTGCTGGCCACAGTGTTGCCAGGCATCTCTGGAAAAAGAGGTGCGTTAAACTACAAGAAGCAAGCAAAGGGAGTGAAAAGTTACCCCAGTGTGGTGTGCCTGTGTGTCTGACTATTTGCTTTGTGCTCTTTCAGCAAGCTGAGTAAGGATCCCTGCCAGATGCGGAGCTCATCTGAAATACATTAAACCCTGGAGAAGAGTGATCTTCTGTACTCTAACTGCACTGAAGGTTCCTATTTGCTGTCAGAGTTACACCCATACATGTAGCAGCAGCTCCTCCAAAGAGACTGTTTTTTCTCCTCAAGTCAAAATATTTTCCAAGCTCCAGAGGGAAAGACTGGAGAGAGATCAAGGTGCTTGAAGAAGTGTGTGCTTTCTTCTTAATAACTTGGTAAATACTTCTTTTAAACTTTTAAATATAGCTATGACAATCGGTTGTACTTTAACCTTTACTCAAATATAGCCAGATTGTGATGCAGTAGAGGAAAGTGAGCTTTGATAGTATTAAGTGTTATCAGTTCACAGCTTAGCTGAAGAATTATTGTATGATGAAACTTTATGAAGATTTTTCCTTTCTTCATTTGGATAATGTAGTATGACTCCCCTGATACTTGTTGCTGCAGGCTAAAATGTTACATTTCTTGTTCCAGTCCAAAAACTCTGTTGCTACTGTGCTGCACAAACCCCTAAGGCATTTTCTTTCGTCCTTAAGCTTTATAGATTGCTCCCAGAGCCTCAACCAAATCTTTTAAGTCTCATGGAAAGCCTGTAAATCAACCTTTACTCACATAGCTGGCCATGCACAATACGTTTGTACGCAATGGCAGCCAAATCACATTTAATGGCTCTCCTGTAGATATCCAGGGTTCGCCATTCCACACTGGTCTTGTGACATGTGAGAGAGGAGTGTGTTGCCTTTTCTCCTCTGGGCAGATATTTGTTTTATCCTAGTTCAGATGGGATTTGAAAGAGAGAATCTCTCCGTAGATGGTTTAGTCTGCTGATGTGTGTCTTACCGTTGTGCCGTTGTGTCAGTCTGGTGCTTAAAATCAGTTGTGTCTTCAATTCCTAGCCCAGTATTTGTTTATGTACTGTACACGACAGTGAAAAAAGATTGTTCTTCCATGTAGAGATTACTCTCTTTTCCTTACATGAAGAACTGAGTCATGACCACATTTAACGTTCCGCAAAGAGAAACTCCACGAGGTAAAAGGAATTTCTTAGTCATTTCATTGTAAAGAAATGAGCTGTCTCTGTGCAAACCCCCCCACAGGGCTGGGTTTGCAAGTTTTCCAGCACGAACACCAACTTTTTCCAGGCAGGCACTGACCATGTTTGGCAGACTGAAGCTTGCTCCAGATTCCACATCCTTACTCTAGATTCTGACAGACTTTCATCACCTGAGGTTCTTAATGCCTTTTTTCTTTTTGGATTAATCTCTGCTTGTCTCCTTTTCTCTTCATGTTTCAGGAGTTATAAGTTATCAGAGCAGTGACTGTTTTTCAAAGGGTAAGATCCAGACATCAAACAATACATCAGTTTTATCATTCCTCTCAGCGTGTGCAGACAAGGTTTCAAGGACAAGTGAGCAGTAATCACATAAACACAGGAAACACCTGAAGGTTTTCCAAGGTTCAGCCACAGGAATTACAGAGCAATACAAGAGACACTTTGACACAGATTTTTGAAAGAGGTTCACTATCTTGTTAGTCAACCAACATGTCACGCTGGGGGCGAAAAAATGTGAAGAAGGCACCTGAGGTGATCCGCACTGTGACAGAGGGGCTAAAGTCCCTGTATCGAGAGAAGCTGCTTCCTCTGGAGCAGTACTATGGTTTCCATGACTTCCACTCTGCCAGTCTGGAGGATGCAGACTTTGATAACAAGCCTATGGTGCTGGTGGTGGGACAGTACTCCACAGGAAAGACAACGTTCATCAAGTAAGATATTACAGCTCTGCATCATGTTGAACTTTGCACTTTATTGAAGTTCTGATAGTGAAAATGATCACAAGCGGTGTGTGTGACTGACAGGTATCTACTGGAGCAGGATATTCCTGGCAGCAGGGTGGGACCTGAGCCCACCACCGACTGCTTCACTGCTATCATGCATGGGGAGGTGGAGTCAGTCATCCCAGGGAACGCCCTTATTGTCGACCCCAACAAGCCTTTCCGCAACCTTAACCCTTTTGGAAACACCTTTCTCAACAGGTGAGAGCAGGAAGTTTATTCCCAGTGTGTTGTGTAATGATTCCACTGAGGGAGCCAGTTATATCAGCATGAAATGGATAGACTATGTGAGAGAACCCAGGGAAAGAAAACAGGGACGATAGATAACAAAGTTTTTTTTAGCGTTTTGGAATTTCTAGTCTCTGTGCCAAATGTCAGAGTGGGGAGGCACTTTCCTTATTTGTGGAAAAATGGAGAAAAGGAGCGAGATCGCCGAGAGGGTGATGAAATCTGATGTGCTCAGGATCTGCAATGTACGCAAGTTGAAAGATGAGGTCAGAGGGCTCCACAACCCCTTTGGGCAAAGACAAATAAAATGAGGCTTATGGAACCTATAAGAAAAATCTTAACACTGAGGACTTCTGGCTGCACTGCCAAATTTTTGTTTTTCCACAGTTTTACAATAAAGCGCTCTTAGCTACTAAACATGGTTTTGCAGGCCAGTGTTGACAGGAACATGCAGTGCTCTTATTAATTAATGGGGCTCCAACATGAAATTCTGATGCCAGTTTTCCAGCAGAATCCCTCACTCCCTCTGCAGGGTGTGTTTGTGAATGCATTTACGTCTCTCCTTTTGCTTTGACTTCCTGTTCTGGGAGCTGGTACGCTCATTAAGCTCCTAAGCTACAGGAAGTGGTGTTGTTGTTCTAAGCCATACATTGCTAGCAGGCCTTATTGTTTGATTTTGGCAGTAGTGGTCATTTTCCTTCAGGAAGCGCAGAGCAATAAGAGCCCTGCTTGCACACAATGGCTTGCAAGGGAGGGATGGGGGAGTGGAGAGGGCAGCTTCCAATATGCTCGTCAGATCACACTGGCTTCTTTGATAAGAGTTGACCATTTTTCACATGATTTAGATTCTTTCCATCTGCACTGACAGTCTTTTTAAACAAACTTGACCTGTCTGAACTTTTGTCATATTGTTTATGTGACTTTTCCCGTCTGCTGCTGTAAATACCAGGTTTCAGTGCGCCCAGATGTCCAACCAGGTCCTGGAGAGTATCAGCATTATTGACACACCGGGAATCCTGTCAGGGGCCAAGCAGAGAGTGAGCCGAGGTGAGGGCGGTAGCAGAGGTGCGGGCGGTAGCCGAGGTGAGGGCGGTGGCAAAGGTGAGGAGAAGTCATGGGGGGCTTGCAGAGACACATCCCTGCAAGCCTTCTCACAAACTCATCTCCTTGGCTTGCCTGGCTAACTCATGGGACCAGTTTGCTCTGTCACAATAACACTTGGCAGCAGGGGACGAAAGTATCACACCCGTACACAGAGGATAAAACCATAATCAGGAACAGTAGTGCATACTGGAGCAATGTACTGTTGAAAAATAACTATCATCATCAACATCTCACAGTAGTTTTTCACTTTTCTGTTCATCCATGCTTCAAGTAACCCATTACACACATCAATCTGACTGAGCAACTAACAAGTTAAAGGGTCAGTGCATCCGCAATATGAAAAACATATTTCCTCACTTACCACTGGTGAAATCTGCAGATAGTTTTGGCAAGATTCTCCACCCTCCACCCCCCCCAAGTGCAGTGGAGGTGATTGGAATGTCATTTGTGGTTCTCACAGAATTAAATCTATATTTTAAAAATTCAACAACATGTCTTTCCAGAAACTACTTTTTTTATAATGCAGACCATTTCTTATGATTTCATTGGTAAGAAATTGTTCCAGTGCAAACTGCTCACTGTGAAGTCTGTAGTTTATACAGAGCAACTGGGACACTGTTTTTGAAAAGACAGTGTTGTTAGATATAATCTTTTAGTGCTGTGAGCCCCACAAACCAGTTCTCTGTTTAAAGAAGAGTCAGAGATGGCTGTCTGAAGATCAGAACTATCTATAGGGCTGTGCTTCAGGAGGTAACTGGGTAAATATGTTTTTGTATTGTGGATGAATTGTCCCTTTTAGGATGATCATGCTGATACAGATTAAATCACCCAAACATATGAGAGTTGGTGTTATCAGACATGTGGATTGGTATTTTACACGTTAAAAGAATAGTTTTTACCATGTGGTATTTTGCATAGAGAAGAAGAGATATGAGTTGCAAAGGGTTTGTGTCTGTCGACCTTCTGCCCTCCTGTCACCTTTGATTTTGTTTAGTGCATAGTGCACATTTACTGTAGGTTTATGACTTAATTATTTAACCATTTTCTATTCAAACAGGCTACGACTTACTTAATTATTAAAACATTTTCTATTCAAACAGGCTACGACTTCCCAGCTGTGCTGCGCTGGTTTGCAGAACGTGTAGACCGCATCATCCTGCTCTTTGATGCCCATAAACTGGAGATATCAGATGAGTTCTCCGAGGCCATCAGTGCCCTAAAGGGCAATGAGGACAAGCTGCGTGTGGTCCTCAACAAGGCAGACATGGTGGGCACCCAGCAGCTGATGCGTGTGTACGGTGCACTCATGTGGTCCCTGGGGAAGGTGTTTGGCACCCCAGAGGTTCTGCGTGTCTACATTGGTTCCTTCTGGTCAGAGCCGCTGATGGTTACAGACAACCGTAAGCTGTTTGAGCTGGAGGAGGAGGATCTGTTTGCTGACATCCAAAACCTGCCTCGCAATGCAGCTTTACGCAAGCTCAACGACCTGGTCAAGAGGGCACGTCTGGTTAGGGTGGGTGGCTCACGGTGCATATGCTTTTGGACACCTCACCATGTATTCATTAAATTACTGCATTCTTAGTAGTGTTAAAACCCAGAAGGAAGAATCTTAATCTCCTTTATTGATATCCTTAATGCTAGGTCCATGCCCACATCATCAGTTATCTGAAGCAGGAGATGCCTTCTGTCTTCAGGAAAGACAATAAAAAGAAGAATCTCATCTACCAGCTTCCAGTTATTTTCTCCAAGATTCAGCTGCAGCACAACATTTCTTCTGGAGACTTCCCAGATTGTACTAAGATGCAGGTTAGTCTGAGACTCTTGGTTTTCACAGCTGAGCACATCAAGGAGCCCATAAGGCAAATACTTCTCTTTTAATGCTCAATAACATTTTTAACATGTTAAATCTTCCAGCTAACACATTTTATCATTCACTTTTAAAGGAGCAACTGATGGTTCATGATTTCACCAAGTTCAAGACCTTGAAGCCTAATCTGATGGCAGCCTTGGATGAGCTGCTCGCTGGTGACATTGCCAAATTGATGCCCCTCCTGCGGCAGGAAGAGCTGGAAGCAGGTGAGCAACTAGGTGTGCAGGGTGGAGCCTTCCTGGGGACCCGTGCTGGACCATTCAATGAGGGCAACCCCTTTGCTGAAGCAAATGGAGAGGAATGTGAGGAGGAGGGGGAGGACTGGGTGGTGACCAAAGACAAGCCCAAATATGATGAAATCTTCTATAACCTCGCTCCCAATGAGGGGAAACTGAGTGGCACCAAGGCTAAAGACTGGATGGTGAGCTCCCGCCTGCCCAACTCAGTGCTGGGTCGCATCTGGAAGCTATCAGATGTGGACCATGATGGCATGCTGGATGATGAGGAATTTGCCCTGGCCAGCCACCTGATTGAGGTCAAGCTGGAGGGTCATGGCCTGCCCCCTGAGCTCCCTACCCGTCTGATCCCACCCTCCAAACGCAGGCAGAAGGGTTCTGATGCATAGACATGTCACAAGATGCTCTTCTCTGTTGGCTGTCACACTTATGCTACTGTTTGTATTTGCTTTTGTTTTCCCCCAGACCCATGTCAAGGTGTTGTTTGTAATGTGTTCAGCTTTTCCTCTGAGACTGAATTTGGTCTTGCACATTGGAATATACTGTATTTAAGTGTAAGCCACACCTTTGAGCCTATAACAAGGGCCTATTGCCAAAGATTGTGTTTTAAGAAGTCAAACGGGTCTGGTTGCTTTTCCTTTTGGCTCCTCATAGTTTGCTTTTTATGATGAGGTTTTAAAACTATATCTTGTGTTTGCTGAGCAGAAGTAAATGAAAGCTGGCACCCTGTAAACGAACGGACTTCAGCATATATTTGACCAAGTACAGAGAAAAACCTTTCTCTGTTAAAGCCGTTAAATTTAACATTCCTTTGGTGACTGTACTGCAATGACACAGTATTATAATGTGTAGGATTATGCAATTTTTAGATTTGGTCATCCCAGTAAGATATCTTCTACAAATGTCTTTTGTAGGCTTTTGCTTAAATGATTTGTTTATAGCATTTCCACCTCAGTCTGACAGTGCACCTCCAATAACCTGAATGCACTTCACTTTGATGCTTTACATGTCACAGTTTTGAGCATACTTTATATATTATTTTTGTAATTGTTGCTCTCATTTTGTATGTGCAGAGCAAGGCCTCAGTTGTATAAAAGAGCATCACGTGCTAAGACGACCTGTTCAACTAGACTGAATGATTGATATATTACCAACTACTGTACACAGCTTCACCAACTGTTATTGTAAACAAATAAAATTCCCTGACTGTGTCTTGTCTCTGTTGTGGCCCTTTTGTAAGGAAACTATCGCAACAAAGCTCAAATGGCTATTGTTAAATATGAAGTACATAATGCGAAGCTAATAATTGAGTGCATTTTGTCACTCTTTTAACAATATTTTCCTTCTATCAAGCTTGTTTGGTCTCTCTGTGACAAATCAGTTAAATGGTGACTCACACTGTCTCCTGCCAAGTGCCCATATCACCATTTTCCAAGACTCTCTCCCCTCTCATTCCCACCATCTGAAGCCTCTTCTCACTCTCTTTCTTTCACACACAGTTATACAGTGCATTCCCCCTTGTCACTGGCTAGTTCTACATTCACACACTCACTAGCCTGTATGTGCATCTTGTTTTTGTCTGTGTAAACTATCTGCACTAATATTTGTATCCCATGTAGAACTGTGTGTGTTTCACATAACAATCTCAGGGTTTGCAAAAGAAGGGGTGGCCTTCCCTGTTCCACTCCTCCATGGAAAGAAACACAAATGAGAAACAGAGGCAATCCAGCCCTTTCCTCGCTGCTCTCTGGCTTACTGTGACTCACATGTGAAGAATGTGGTGGGCTGGCCCAAGAGTTATTAATATCGCCTTTCCTAGGGTCCGCTAAGTTTCCTTAGGCTCATGCACAGGATCTAGACACTGTACCTTTATGAAAGACTGTAACAACATCCCCTTATTTGGAGTGTTCCTGTGCTAGACCTGCAGTTTGCCACACCCTCTCCTGTGTCTGTGTGAGAGAAGGAGCAGCAGAAACGGAGATAGGTAAAAAAAAAAAAAAAAGTCTTCTTAATCTACTTCATTTATATTTTCAAGTCACTGCTAGCAATGCCATTTTAGAGAGCAGAATAAAAAATTTCCCTCAGAAGTTTGAACAATGCCCATCTGTTACATAATTAGGCTGTGCTGAGTCATAGCAAATCACAAACATTTGTTGCCCAGATCAGAACACACAGTGCTGCCAAAGCAGTGGGGTGAGGCTTACACACAGGTCCAAACTAGAGCAGAGGACCAACATCAGACATCCCCAAGAATGAAGCTTACTTAAGGAAACCGGGGTCTCCGTATACGTCACCGTGTTTATGTGGGGAATTCCTTACTAGCAAACCTGTGGTGGAAGAAAAACTGAGGTCACCCACTCTGGAGAGGAGTGACCTCTGGTGGATACTGGATTCCTGGCAAACTTACACTAAAATAATAAACATTACAGTGTCCAACAGTAGGTGGCAGACTGGAGGCATGTGCATTAAAGGATAAGTTCGCTTTTTTTCAAGTCAGTGAAACCCAAATACTCCTGTTGTGCAAGACAGCATTTTAATGTTCAGCTGAAACTAATAAGAGGCTTCACAAAAGTTAGTCATTTTAAGTGGGCATGTTACAGAGTGTTAAATTTAAGGGTGCATTTATAATACATACAGCTTGATCTAACAAGGACTGTAATTTTGACTCCACATGTGAATAACTGGTGACCAATAACTTTCAATTTACATGATTATTGTATTAATTTAGACTATGAAAACTGAGAACTTGTCCTTGAAACCTTTTTAAAGTCTTATTTTATATACACTATTTTAATGTTTAAGTCAATCTACATTTTAATTCATGTGTAATTTCACTTGCCAAAGATGTTACAAAATATTTAACCAGCTGTTGTATTTTGTCACAAATGAGTTACATTAGTTACAGATAACTCTGAAGTTTATTATACATCCAAAAAGAAAGCAAATCATGTTGAACATAGCTTGGTAGCTCAAACTATTTTCCCATTTTACCTGCACATACATAACACATTCTGCTCTGACTAAATCACAGAATCAAGCCTTAACATTTGGAACCACTGATGTAAAAATATGCAAAGTATGACACAAAGGTAAAGCTACCGCATCACTATTAAGAGATAAGACCTAGTATCAAAGGTAAAGTTATATCAGTATATATAAAATATTTCTCAACTCTCATACCCATTCCACACATGGTGCAATCACTTAGAGCTAAAGCCCTTGTTAAGTGTCACAAAAGGTAGATTTTCTGACCATATTCAAAAGAGCATCTGAAACATTTTCTCATTTTAGTGAATTCTAGTGCTTAGAAACTAAAATAATTTTTCACATCTTTGATCTGTTTCATCATACCACCAATTTCCTGTCCCTGTTCTCTGAGCACATCCTGAACAACCTTCTTCTGGTGGGCATTGAGTGACATGGTCGTCCTGGCTACAGGCACAGCCTTGTCCACTTGTGTCTTCTGGTACTCCATCTTCATGTTCACCTGTTTGATGCAGTTGTCCAGGTGTTTCAGTTGATCATTGATTGCCTGAAGCTCCTTCTTCATATCCTTCTCACTGTTGGAGAGTATGGGTAGTTGGCTTTGCAGGCTGCCCAACACTTTTTTGACCCTGTTCACAATGGTTTCCTGGCGATACTTTGCATCTTCATACTTATCAGCCAACCTCTCTGCTGCTTCTCTCAGACTTTTCCTCTCCTCCCTGCACACAGCCAGCTCCTCCAGCTGCTTGTTCTTCTGGCCTGTCAGGAGTTTTACTCTTCTCTGCATCTCCTCACAGGCCATATCCTGTTTGAGAATGTATTCCTCACGGAAGACCTGTGTGGCTCTGCTGAGGAGCTGCAGACACTCTGGTAGAGGTGGTGTCTTGTCCTTGTCCCCAGCCTTGAGTACAAGGGGATTGGTGGAGCTACGTGCCAGGATGTTGCGGATGTGCTGCTCGAAGGAGTTGTCGGCCAGCCTGCGCAGAGGGGAGCTAGCAGAGCCCGGACCTGGATGGGAACAAAGCAGTGGAGGGGAGGGAGGGCGAATGGAGCTCAGCAAGGGCAACAGGATGCACTCGTAGGCCCTGGTGATGCAGATCATGGTGGCTCCCAAGGCAAGGTCAGACACAATCAAAAAGCCACGAACCGGAGCTGACTGACTGGTCTGGAGTGGTCTAGTGCAAAGAATGTGCTCTACAATACAGCGCTTCTCAGCAGCCAGTTCCTGGAGACTGTCCTTGTCCTCCTCGTCTGACTGGAGGAACTTCTGCAGCTTGTTGGCCCAGATTAGCCCCACGCTGTGCACTCCTGCTTCGTGAGTGCAATGATACCTATGCTGGCACAGGGGGTCTCTGTGCAGTCTGATTGGGCAGGTGAAATCAAGTTCTTGAGGCTCCTCGTCATCTCCTGTGGCTACTTTGAGGGTAAGCTCTAACTCAACACACTCAAATACATACAAAGCTGGAACTGCCTCTGTGCCTCGGATCCACTTTTCCACTGCCCCCGTCTCTTCCTCCTCTTCAGAGTCCAGTACCACGCAATGATACAGCGTGCCTGTTTCTGTGGCGATGACTAGAATACTGGGCACGCATGGCAGGCAGAGAATCGCACAAGCCTCATAGCCATAGTTATCTTCTGCTGCAGGATACATGGGAAGGGGCCCAGCAGGTTTACTTACACTCACACCGTTTGTCTGGCTCGTGTAGCTCACATAGGTTTCCCCATTTCCGTAGAGAATATACAGAGGGTAGAGCAGCTGCTCTTTAGCCCACCTTGCTGTCAGCTTCCGAGGGGGGGGCGAAATCGGCCCAAAGTCAAACGCCACAGCTATCTCGCCTAGAGATGCTGCATAGGAACGGTCCGGTGGATGGATGCTGCTGCCATCTTCCGACTGCGAAACTGGCAGGACATTGACCGGCGTCTGGGGCGACTTCAGACCGTAAAACCTGATTGTGTTGTCGGATGTGAGCAGCACCAGATGGGGTTCGTCGGTCTCACTCGGGTACCAAGCTGCCTGCCTCAGATTCACGGACAGTGAGCTGGTGAAGAATCGCTCTGCCACCGGGATTGTCCTGCAGTTGATTTCGCTTCGTCCGCCCTCGAACTCGGACCTCTTGCCCCACCGCTGAGGAAGTTCTAGGACCGAGATGCCACGCTTCCCGATGAGCGCAATGTGGTGCTGTGTTGGACTCACCAACACCTGGCACACTTCGAAAAGAGGAGGGTTGATACACAACAACGTCTGATAGCTCCCGCTACTGCGACTCTCGTCCGGGCTTAGCTGTCGTAAGTTGGTCGTGTAAAACACGCTGTCTGCGTCGTTCCACAGGAAAAAGTCCCCACCCAAACAAAAGGTGAGGTTTTTAGCGATATCTCTTTCATTTGTGCTAGGCTCCGAACCCAACTTCTCTTGTATTTTTTTGAAAATAGCATGGTTTGGTAAATCATTCAGCCACCTTTCTACACCGAATGCCGCCATCTTGATCAACGTCGGTTTCAAAGAGAAAACAGCCCATGGCAACCCGATAGTTTTGCGACAGTCTTTTAACGTATTACGGTGGCCGGCGTCGTACATTTTGCAGAATCACCATGGCGTTGAAAGAGACTGTTGGGCTGTATGAGACACTCAGAGCAGAGTGGAACAAGAAAAACCCAAACCTGAATAAATGTGGAGACCTTCTGACCAAACTTAAGGTAGAGTCGCTCGATTGATTTGCATCGATTTGTCTCTTTTGAGTTTTATCAAGCGGGAACATTGCTTCTTGAGAATCGTTAGTCCTGTTAGCATGTGTAGCTCAGCTTGCTAATTAGGCTAGTTAGGCTAATATGTGTGTTTTTATTAAGTAAACTTTGTACACATGCAGTTTCGTTATAATATTGTTGAGTTTCTATTTGTCAACTACGTGTTTGTGTTCGGGTAATAGTCTATTTAATAATTTTAGGATATGTATCAGGAAATAAATCATTGCAGCCAGTTTTGCTAACGTTTCGCTAATTCATTGTCCAACAATTTCCAACAAAATAAACATTTACACGGAGCTTTATTGAGACGGTATTTACGTCTTTGTTTCTTTAACCTTAACTTAGTGTTAGGTATTCTTTACTTATTGATTATACGGTTACTGTTACTACTGTACTGTTGAAGTTCTGTTGTTGAGACAATGTTTATTTACTCCTTGCGGGAAGAGGTGCGACATATTACGTGTGAACGTTTGTAGAAAATGACACAAAAATTTGCCTTTGCAGATTTCATTACTGGAGCTGAACTTTTTACCTACCAGTGCGTCCGCTCTCACTAAGCAGCAGCTTATTTTAGCTCGTAAGTATGGCTGGCAAATCAACCTGACAGACAACATTCATAGTAATCATAGATTGGTTGGTGTTGGCGAATTGGGACAGATTTGTGTCTGTTTTTCAGGTGATGTCCTTGAAATTGGAGCCTTGTGGAGTATCCTTAAGAAGGACATCCCATCCTTTGAGAGATACATGGCCCAGCTAAAATGTTACTACTTTGATTACAAGTAATATTACCTTTTTGTTTTTCATGTGTAGTGGAACCTTGTTGTATAGTACTCAGTGCCTTTTTCTAACATTGTTCTTTCTTTTGTCATTAGGGATGAACTGCCCGAAGCTGCCTACATGCACCAGTTACTTGGACTAAACCTGCTCTTCCTGCTCTCACAGAACCGTGTGTCTGAGTTTCATACAGAGCTTGAGAGACTGAGTGCACGAGATATTCAGACCAATGTATACATCAGGCACCCAGTGTCACTAGAGCAGGTGCTGCACTTTATGCCTAGACAAAGCACACATTTAGGGTTTGATGTTACACTGTTATTCTGTAGTGCCCAGATAACAGGGGTAAAATATTTGTGCATCCGTTTAGGACTTTATCAGTGCCCAAATAACAGGGGTAAAATATTTATATTTGTGCATCCGTTTAGGACTTTATACCCTTAAAATTGTTCCTTAAATTAATAATGTTGGGTGCTAGAATTACTTAATTCCTTTACAGAATTACAGCAGCAGTAATTGGCGTTGCAGGTTGTGGTTGATAGTTCAGTCAGTTAGTGAGGAGGATAGTGGCAGGCTGGTGAAGTGGTTCCTGTACATTAATGAATTAATTACTTCAGACTATTATATTCTCTGTTTTTGATTGACTCCTAAATGTTGTATTTCTTACATAGCTTTTAATACAAAGTTTCCAAACGCAATGTTTACTTTTGGCTGCTATAGTCAGATATGCCTCTTTGACTACGTTCACACTGCAGGTCTTAATGCTTAGATCGGATTTTTTGCCGAGATCCGATTTTTTTGCGCTGTTGTTCACACTGTCATTTAAATGCAACTGCCATCTGTCTCATGTGTGAACGGTATACGGCCCTGAAGTGACCCGCATGCGCAGAAGAGGACGTGACGTCAGACGCAGCGTACTGTGTTTGCGAAAATAAAAATGGATGCGGCTCGTGATAGCATGTGCGTAGCGATGTACCAGTTAATGTGCAATTGAAATAAAGAAATAAAAAGTAAAAGAGCAAAAATATTGCTTATGGCCTCTCCTCCTCCAGCGCAGAATTGTGACATCTGTCGCATTTCAATGACATAAAAATCGCATGAAATGCGACATGGCCGTTCAGACTGAAGTCGCAAAACATCGGATATGTATCCGATTTAGGACCACATATGAAAGTGGCCTGGGCCAGATTTGAAAAAAATCAGATTTGGGCTGTTCACACTGTCATAAGGAAATCGGATATGGGTCACATGTGGGCAAAAAGATCGGATTTGAGTCACTTCAGCCTGCAGTGTGAACGTAGTCTTTGTAAATCATTACAAAATAAATTTGATGAAAAATCAGGTCATTGACAGTCTATGGGGACACCAAGATTGAATACACATTGACAGAATTTTATTTTGCATTTCTGTGAGATGCATACAAATATAATGAATTCAGAGCTACAAAATACTAATTCATTGACACAAATGATCAAACATTTTTCCCCTGGTTGCATGCAGGGTTTGTGAAATTCTCTTTCTCTATAAAAGTAACACAGTAATAACAGTATATAAAATTAATGTTTTATAACCTTTGCTGTCTTTTTCAGTACTTGATGGT